GCTGCTGGAGATATAATAACAACAAAAAAAATATTTCAAGCAAAATATGCTTTTTTAAGGGCTTCGATTCTTATTGAACCTTGTTACCATCTCCCTCACTGCCTCCCTCTATCTCTCTCCAACTTACACGGATTTCCCTTCTATACCTTTGGATGATGGATTAGGAAATAACAAGAGGTTATGGAATGTCCATTGATGGAAGTCCTTTTGAAATGATACGGAAAAGTTGAAAAGCTTACACTTGGTATATTTCCTGTAAGCTCTCTCTCTCTCTCTCTCTCTCTCTCTCTGTGAATGTTATACAGAGGCAGCTTAAGAGGTAAAAAGATGAATAATTTCCTCTTGTAAGGTCAATATAGAGAGTAAATTGATGAAAGTGCAGTATTTGTGAATAATAGTATTAGTCATAATTGGCTTTTTCCATCTGTTTGATGCTATGATAAAGTCAAAAAAGGGATTGTAATTACTATAAATAGAATTGAACTATCAAGTACATTTTTATGTTAATTATTCAAATTATGCCAAAGATGGAAGTTGCAGAGATGAAGATTCCGTCAAAGAGAGTCTGTCTCTCTCTGTTTATGATATGAGAAGACAGAGTATGTGAGTGAGGAGGGATCATCTCCTATCAATTCACAAGAGAAATTATTATTTCTCTCTCTCCCTCTGATTATAGCGAATGGTTTATTAGAATGAGGGGTAGAGAGAGAGTTTGGATAGGATTGAAGAGATCAGAGCAAGATGTTCACCAGAGCAACAGCAAGATTCTCATAAGAGTGTAAGGAAAATTTGAAGGAAGGAGGGAAGACGTCAACTTCACGCGGTCTCTGAACAACCCACGTGAAGTTTAGGATGTCATTGGGATGTTTCAGCTTTTCGTCTTGTTTTTTTCATCAAAACTTCATTGAGAACGAATGGCAAGAGAGGAGGAAGAGGAGTTTAATGAGTAGAGAGTAGGAATGACGTCGAGGAGAGCTTTTGATCTTACAAACCCAAGCTCAACAAAAGATTTCCGCATTACCTTAAAAGGTAATGTATTATGTCGTTTGAAAAGTAATTGACCATGATTGGTATGAATAAAGAAGAAGTAGTAGATGAATAGAAATAGAAGACGTCAGATGATTCAGAGGAAGTAGAAATCAGCATGCTCCAGGGGAAGGAGAAGAACTGCTGGTATGAAATGAAAAAAAAAGAAAATTGAAGAACAAAAAGTGGATTGAAGAAGTACAAAGAGAAAGAAAGAGAGAGGATATGAGAGTGAGAGAGAGGTATAGCAAACAGAAAGATTTCAAAAGAAGTAGAGGGAGGCAATAGCTTCGAGGTAGATACGAAACTGCAGATGATTGGTGAACAAAGTATATTATCAGAATTTCCATAATCCAAATGACTGATGAGATGTTTGAGAAGAATAAAAATGACAGAAAAATTTCATAATGAAAATGTCACATTAGGACTAAGTTCATAGACGACGATATGTATATGAAGTAGACAAGTTGCTCTGCGGTTAACATTGAGCTCCAAATCGAAATGAGAGAAGAGTCTTTAGATACTCGTGGACATCTCTATATTTGGAAAAGAGATAGAGAGCCAGAGAGAGAGAGAGAGAGAGAAAGAGATGGCGAATTGGAGGAATCAAAAAGAGCTCAAATTCATAAAGCAAGCCAACTGTGCTAATGCTAATCAGAGGAATCCAAAAAAGAAAAGAAGTATTTCCTTATTTGACTCTATAAACGGAAGCATTATGCCTATATAAACTTCTGGAATGTCCAAGTGACGCTGATTGAAGCGCCTGACTGGGTACCAACTCAATCGTGTGTGTGTGCTCAGCGTCCGAGGATTTTAAAAGATTTTTTTAATGAAAAATATGAAAAATGATCTGTTGGAACTGATGACGACGACGACGACGACGATGACTACAACGACGACAACGTCGAGTACGACGACTACAACAACGATGACACCGGGACAGGACAGGACAGAGGGAGGAGAGATAGAGATGGATGAGCGCAGTGCAAGAAGCAACGTGTTTTCATATGAGAAAAGCAAAAGAAAGAGAATTCAATGTAAAATTGCTTTTTTTTTGTTGTTTTGTTTTCCAAGTTGAAAGAATCTTAGATGACGTTAAAAAGAAAAATATCTTAATTAAAGAGATTTCTGTTTCGTTGTCTAAGCGTCAGAATGAGAAAACGGAAAAGCTTTCTTTGTCATGTCAAGCAGAATAAACTCTTATCTCTCTCTCTCTCTTTTCCTCTCTTTCTCTCTCTCTCTCTCTTTCTCTTGAAGTTGTAAGACAAGAAGACTGTTCGTCGTCGAGATGCGAAATGAGAAGTTGGAAGAGAATCTTCTGAACTTTGCTAATGAACGACTTCGCTTCCGGAGCAAAAAAAAGATTTCACTCTCTCTCCTTCGCTATCTCTCAGCTAAGCTTTTACCATAAAAAAAATCTCATAAAATCTTTAATTCTTGATTGGAAAATTATTGGGAAAATCAAATTTTGAAAGCTTTTCATGTGAGTTGATGCTGGAAGAAGCTGCAGCTTGGAAGCCATTTAATGTACTTTTCTGTATTTTTGAAAATGAACCATTAAAGGATGTTGCTGTTGTTGTTCAACAATCAGTTGATCGAAGAAGAGAGAGAACGCCACAGACTGAGAAGCATAGAGGTTGAATGTAATAAGAGGGAAATCTTTGAAATACTTAGGAAGTACGTTGAGTGATGTAAGAATTCAGAAGAAGGATATGTCTCGAATTGTTTCTCCTTTGCCACCGTCAATCCTCCTTCATTTCCACTCAATCGTCTCTGTCTCTCACTCTTAATGATCAGCTTATAACGTTTAGTTTTTTCTTCTAGGCTTTTCCGTACTTGGGGAGAAGAGTATGTTGCATTCGTAGACTTCATGAGAGTTACAAGCTTCATTCTTATAGGCTGACTCGAACGCTGGATACTACGAATTAGCAGATCAGCAGCTTGTCTTAGTAGAAGTCGAGGATGGATGAACGATTGAAAGCTTGCAGGTCAACGAACAACATGAAGCTGCTCCTAACAACTCGTCAACTCGTAAGGCTTCACTCTCGACTAACTTCAAGACTTCACTCTCTTTTTTTTCTTCTTTCTGACAATATCGTCTGTGGCAAGAGGGGATTGCAGAAGTGAAACAATGGGAATGGCAGGAGAAAGTCATCAATATGGTCATGTTTCACATGAATCTTACAAGCTGATGAAAACAAAACAAATAGAATTTCCATGAAGACAAGGAGGAAAAGCTTTTTTTTCTTCTTTTTGCACGAAATATCATTTCCTTTTATGATATTACGTGAACACATCGGAATCGTAGATCTCCTCTCTCTCTATCTCTAAGTTTCTATTGTGAAGACGCATTGTCGTTCACTTCACAGCCTTCAAAGCTTCATCGTACTCTCAACGACTACAGCTGGTGAAGATTTGAAAACGAAACTTTCATGGAATGAATGATTCATGTGTGAACACAACAATTTGTATTTTAAATACCATTATGTTCATTAACTACATCTGATTGTTTCTTTAATTATTCAATAGAAGAGTTGCCATTGAGAGCATTCTCATCTCCTCCATCTCTCTTCTTCTTCCTTTCTCTCTATCTCTCTCTTACTCTCTCTCTCACTCTCTCTCTTACTTTTCTCGTTTCTGTGAAATATTAATCAAAAAATCTTTTCTTCAAAGGGAGCGAATAATGTGTTGAATTGCAACTTTGATGACGACATCTCCAAGTGATGTAAGAGACAGTTCAAATAACAAATGAACATCAACAAGACATCGATAAGATGTCTGTGTGTAGGGGTCTTTCTAAGAACTTCTATCTCATCTTTCATCCTCCACTTACATGTAAGCTTATATTAACTGACAACGATAGTCTCGGTTACATATTGAGAAAAGAAATTCATTCGCTCATCTATTTCGGGAATAACGTATTGAGATCAAATGGTTTAAAGTCAAAAGATATTTGAATCTGAGCTTATTGGTTGTTGGTATTCACACCATAAGCTCACTAGTCTTCGAGCTTGCCCTGTCACATATATGGCAAACGTTTAATTTTTAGTTTATTAAACTTCATACTATGAATAGTCCAGTTATAAGTTTATATGCGGAAGGAGACTGCAAAGCTAAAATAACGTTGCTTCCATATTTCATGCATGTTTGAGCAAGTTGCCTCAAGATAGATTCTAACTTAGAATACACCACACACACACACACACACACACACACACCACACCATACAATGATAGGCTCTTTCAACTTTTTTTTGTTTGGGAAGCAGGAATATTCGAGCGATGTCAATGTCTTCAGCCTCCCGGATCGGAATCATTGAGAGGCAATCAACATTTCCTTATACTTTCTAAGTTCAATGACAGACAATGTCTGAAACATTAAATTGTTATGATTCAGATGTCTTATGTACATCATTACGAGAAGAACAAAAAAAAATTTGCAAAATGAACGATTTTGTGAAAAGTTATGACAAGGGCTCTCGCTCTCTCTAGACGGGTTGGCATGTAAGAAGCACGACCGCTGCACTAAAGCTGCAAGTGAAAAATGAACTTCTTTCGAGATTTCATTCACGTCCAAATTTATACTTTTGGATGGTTCACGTGAAGAATGAAGCCTGAGTCAGGATACTCTCTTGAAGAAATGAAAATCTATTTTTATTTTTATATTTTCGTACTTGGCGGTTGTGCTTGAGCACTTGAGATGTGTACATGTGCATCGTATCCATGTAAATGAGCATAACACATCTGAAACTCAATGAATTTCCACGCTCTTTTTTTTCGTCTGATTGTACAGAACGTATCTCAATGTCATATACAAGAATTCTCACACAACAGCTGAGAAAAAATATATTTATTTCGTAAAAAGTATATTTTTGATGTCATTTTCAGACAAATCATCTTTCTTCCCATTCGTTACCCACTTGTAGTAGATGGAAAACTCTGACTTGATCTCCTCGATAACCTTAAGGGAACGCATCAGACATCGCATACACTCAAAATGGTTATTGCCTGTTTGTCTGAAGATTTCTCATGTGAATCAGCTTTCTTGTGTTTTTTGAACCACTCATCGGATTTTACTTTGGTTGATGACCTTGTTGAGTTGATCTACAAACCATTTAGAAGATTAAGCAAGTTCTTGAACAACCTGTGACTCAGTAGCATAGTCATTTGAAAAGAAAAACTTTGTTTTCTTATTCGAGCTCAAACTATTCTTCGACAACGTGGATGGGGGTCGAGAAATCTGTAGAAATCAAAGTACATCCATGATGAAGACATTCACATACCTTAGGCTTATAGTCCATCCATTCTTCATACAGCTTCTGCCCTTTCTGATAAATTGAATACGAAAACTTGATTATGGTGTTGTAAGCTTACCCCAGCATACTTCTCTAGAGATGGATCCATACTTGAAATGAACCATATAAGGTAACCTAGATACTCTCCACATCATGTCGGTTACTAGTCATATGCACCTAGTTCGACAATTTTTTCATGAAAACTTTGAAAAACAAGGGCGTCTATGTTTACTTTTCAATGTTATTACTTGAGTGCATAAGTGATATACGTCTTGAACCAATCGATTTGATAATCAATATGCACGTGGTAGGTGCATGCTGTTTTCCTCCTTATCATGCTTTATGCTAATTACCCGCCTAATCATTTCCTGAGATTGATGCTTAGTCATGGAAAGTAAGAAAGTGAACTTTCTCCATAAAGTTTCGACGTCAGATAACTTTTACAAATAGACCCCGCCTCATGTTCAGAGCCACCAATGAAATAATGCGATAAGAACTTCTCTTCACTTCTCGATTTCGCCATCTCTGTGTAGTTGTGCTTCTTTCCGCTGAATTTCAAATTTTTTTCATTGAAATAATACTTCCTTCTACTAATATTAATTATATTTCAGAATGTCAGTTGATGCCAATGATACCGTCTCCCTTAGCGGATTGAAAGACAGCGACAAGAAGGAGCAATTGAAGAAGATGAAGAAAGTGAGTCGAAATTCTTTTTTTTTCGAAACAAACATGTCAACACCCCCTTACCTCCTAAACTTATCAATTGTTTATGTTTTTGGAAGACTTGAAGAGAGAGAGAGAGTGAGAGAGAAAGAGAGAGAGAGAGAGAGAAAGAGAGAGAGAGGAGGAGGAGATGAAAAACATTCTCCCCATCTTCAACTTCCTTACGTCATACTCTCCCTCTCTCCCTCCCTCTCTCTGTGCCATTCAAAAGTTGTGAAACAATCAGCTTAATCAATAGGTCTTCGGAGTACGTTCAGTAGTACTAGTAGTACTGTTTGCTTGAACGATTCCAAGAAAAATGATTAATCTAGCTATCAATCTGTTTTAAAGCTTCTATACAATCTCTTATCATATACATATAACTAAGAATAACGTTGACAACATCTCTATCAAACTAATATTTATTCGAAAGTTTCGTCAACGAGACTCTATTATGATGCAAGATGAGAGAATGTATGAAGACAGAGATCATCTGTACCCTCAATGAATCATCTCAAAAGAACGGTAGCCATAAAACGTGTGAATCTTATGCGAGACTACTCCCATATTTTCATGTGAAACCTATAAAACTATTCAATTGATTATCATATCACATGATTTTTAATCTCTTTCTTAACTTATTCTCCGATATGAACCATTTACCTCCCTTCAAAAACAACATCCTAAAATTTGTCGGCAATCTTAACACTTATACCTTTTTCAGTTATCATATGGTCCAGCCAAATCACCACGATATGAATTTACTATGAATCGTTCATTCAGCAAGTATGTCATCAATCCTTACAGATATACAAACATCAAATACGTTCACAGATCGTTCGAGAAATCACGCTCGGCATCTGTTAGTTCTACTGGAGATTCACAATTGCCTGTACCAGTTGTACCACCACAGCAGCCAGCAAAAACTCCACTCAAGAGAATTGCAAGCTTAGACATCAAGGGCAAGCCGAAAGGATTCCTCACTGCATTCTAAGATGTCTGACTGATGTTGATGCCTATGACGCCATTCTTCTTTTCGTACAAATTTTGATCTCCAGAATTACAGCATGAATAATCCAACTGATTATGTTCACTTAGCTTATGTAACCATCTTGTCTCTCTCTCTCTCTCTCTCTCGCTCTCTTGCTCTCTCTCTATACATATGCCTATACATAGATATACATTTGTTCTTTGTAAATGAATTTTTTAACTTTTCGAAATGTTTGAGAACGTATCAGAGCACCGGAATCATCATTAAATGATGTCATTGAACAGATTATCAATAACCCACTCAGTTATTTTCGAAATGTGAAGCTGTATGAAGAAACCGCAGTGATGGTCTCTATAGAATGCTTACAATAGGATTCCATTAACACATTTCACCTCACAAAGCAACAAAATGCACGCAAAAATCTTATCATGACACATTTCCTTATCGGGTCATCCATAAGACTTTGTCTTCTTGTATTTTCGTCCAACCATGTATGATGTTTTACTTTATTTTGCATTAAATGCATTAGGATTTTTCTTTTTCCTCTTCATCTACAACAGATTTCCAAAGGTTCGTCCCAATCGCATTTGGAATAATCTTTTCGTGAGTGGGAAGATGACTTATGAAAGCATATTAATATATATATTAATCTTCAGCCTCGACCTGATGATTACACTACCATACCTGGCTTGAAACTTTCGCTGCCAGCAGAAGAGCTTCCTCCTCTCACTATTGAACCCGGTCAAACTCTATGTAACATTTCTGCAACAGCAGGACATCTTAGTGAGATCAAGAGGTTGACTTTCAACTATATGAGTCATTTGTCATTTCAACATGTATATAGATTTCCCAATTTTCGGCAGTTTCTCGAGTATTGTAGTTTATGCTACGGTCCGCTATCATCTTTCTACTGGGGACCTAGATATGTCGTTTCCGTTTCGAGTCCAAAAATTGTTGAAGAGCTTGCTAAATATAAAGAGAACTTGGGTAATGAAGACATATAGTATGTTCAAGCATGAATCGATTCTTCAGTTACGGTATGTCCGCTAACTATCGGAAGTGCCTTGAGTGGTGATATGAGAACATGGAGTGAGAACGTATGGACGCCAAACAAGGACATTTCAGTGGATGATACAGTCAAATTCGACAAAATCGTAACGTTCCACTCCTCTTACAATCAATCTAAGATGCAATTCAGTTGAGCGAAAAAACGCAAAACAAAATTTGTCTGACGGGACCTTTCAAGCTCACAGAAGAACAAACGAATCGTGAGAGTGACCCGATTGATCTGATAAAGTTCTGATGGAAATAATAGCATCAATATTATTAATTTTCCAGACAATTACCTGCCATTTATGGGGAAGAGCTGAAAACATCAAAATCGATTCGAGAAATTCTCTCCCGACCTCTCGTTGTCATTTTCAACCTGGAAATAGACGTGGATGCTCATCCAATTCCCAAATACGTAAGAGAACATTGATCATTGGGAAGTATGTTTTGAAACAGATTCCAATCATCATTCATGTTGGTGGATTGGTACAACGTTGGTCAACAGAGGAGATATGGGATAGCTACATGAAGACATTGGATTGGGTACCCGGCATTGAGCTCTTACACAGTATCGATGAAGAAGTAGAGCGAAAGATAAGAAGAGAAACAGTTAGACGACGATAAATTGGAAATAGTTTATTAGAATAATATACGTAGAAATATAAATAAATTCTTACAATTTTCTTTTGTTTCAATAGAAATCTCAATTCTTGAAATCATATGCATCGTTTGAGCAAGGCAATCTTTGGCATTTTCTGTACAAGTTATATCCCTTTTATAATAATACAAATTGAATTGATAGTCGACGTGCGGCAATTAGCAATTTCAAAATAAAGTTCGGATGTCACATATTGCAAAGAACCCATATATGGAATGGAAAGTTCAGTTTCCGTTAGATGGATGGCTGACTTAGTGCTAAGGTTAGTAGCCGACTCGCCGTCTTCTGAAATGGACAAATCAATTGTACCGAAACCCTTTTTTGCACGAACCTTGAATTGTTCATTATCACCTGCTAACGATTCAACCCAAGTGAGTAGAGTCCTTGTGATTGTAGCGTAACTTGTGAAATCAACTTGTTCAGAGAACGAATCGAAACATTCATCTAAAAGAGCTTGGACCTGCAAACAAAAAATCTTCGTCAAGAATGGAGATAACACTGAACAAACCATTTTGGCTTGAATCGAAACGGATCCTCCTGATGTGTTTTCTGATGCCATGGCTTCATACTGAGCCGCAATCATTTCAAGTGCAGAAACTTGTGTAGTTAATTGCTGAATCTCTTTATTACTGGCCTCCACTTCAGAATTCAATTGACTCATGTGTTCGCAAGCTCTAGAAGTTCACAAATTACGAAAAAAAGTTTAAAACGATTCAAGAGAACCTGAATAGAATGGCGGCATTTGTTATTTTGCATCCCATGGCTGATGGTGTTTGCGGAATTAAATCTTTCAAATCACTGTATCCATTCTATTTATAGAACTGTTATAAACAAAATTTCATAGTAAACTCACATTGATGGCTTCTCTGCGCTGACGTTCACACCGTAGATGCGTCTCTTTCTTTTTGTCGACAAAGGAATCAGATTCTGTTGGGCTCATCGTATTTGCTTCTTCTGTACTTAAACGTCTTCTATTCATACTAAAATCAAAAAAAAATCTGCAAATTAGAATAATAGCTTAAAGTTAATATTTATATAAGGTCAAAGTTCATTTTTGCGATGTGTGCAATTGCGCGTCACACACACAATTGTAATTTTCAAAAGAACGGCAAATGTAAGCGTTTCTTTCATATTACAAGTTAAAATATCTTCCACGATTTCATGACTACCAGATACATAAGCCTTCATCCATTCATCCAATCCATTCACTCACTTAAGATTTGTCGTTTTTCAGAAGAGATGTCCAATATAGCCTTTGTTCGTATTCAAAGAGAATGCAAAGAAGTTGTTACTAACAAGGAAATTCAAGATACTGGTATAATGATTGAAATTTTAAATGATTCGTTAACTGATATAAAGGTTTGTCTTTACTTCATCTTATCATACTCTTTACTCTTGTAGGGAACTATCAAAGGTCCACCCGATTCGCCTTATGAAGGAGGAACCTTCGATATTTCAATTGTTATCCCAGAGCAATATCCCTTCATTCCGCCAAAGGTTTGCTTATCGCTTTATTTGATCGAACAAAAAGGAAATTTGATAGGCTAAGTTCATCACGAAAATATGGCATCCGAACATAAGTTCCCAGACAGGTATCATTTGTCTGGACATTCTGAAAGACCAATGGTTTGTGTGTAACTTCTGACGTTCATTCAGTCTCACATATTTCAGGGCCGCTTCACTTACTCTGAGAACCGTTTTATTATCTATTCAATCTTTAATGTGTAGTCCTGAGCCAAAAGATCCCCAAGATGCTGTAGTTGCACGGCAGTATATGGATGATCCACAGCTATTCAAGGTTTGATATTCTCGAAAGATAGTGAATGCTCATCTCGCTTCAGAAAACTGCTATCTTTTGGACATCCCGTTTTGCCAAGGGGAACGCCCCAGATTGTACTGATTTCAGATTTAAAATTACCAAGTTAATGGACATGGGTGTTACTGAGGTAAGTTCTCTCTCTCAGCATAATTTTCTTAAAGTCAATGTGTTCAGGACGAAGCTGTATCTGTACTCAGCTGTAATGCCTGGGATCTCTCTAAAGCTACGGATTATATTTTCTCTTAAAACTTTATCTTATTTTATATTGGTAACTGAAGAGAATGTATCATTTCTCTTTCAGACAGTTCTCATTGCCGGTATGTGTTATTCGATTGACTATTGACTTTAAAGTAAGAAGTTGTATTGATGATCGCTGTCTCTTCCAATACTCTCTTCATATTCGTGTTTCTCCAACTGATTGGTTATTATGTTGTTTGTAGAAGCTTCTAAATTGCTCACTTATCAGTACTTTGCTTCAATGTTTTTTTTGATCCGCTTGTAACATCATCCTTAACAGTACAGTTTTTCCTGGTCGAGTTAATTCGATTTCTGATTTCGAGTGGAATTTTCGTGATTCTTCGTATTTAGTAGAAAAAGTAAATGAATTCATATGAAAATAGTTTGTTTTGCTCATTCGTAGTTTTTCTCGAATCCTATATCTGATTCTGTAAAAGCTCATCAGGTTCTAACAGCCTTATTGAATAGGCCACATGCCAGAAGGAAAAGGCTCTCCCTCAACACCGGCAACGGAACCACCTAAGAAGCTTAAAGCTTGCTGCGCTTGTCCAGAAACTAAAAAAGTTTGTGTCAAAAGGCAATTTTATAGTGCAATCTTTATTGCTTAAGGTTCGTGATACGTGTATCATTGAAAATGGCGAAGAGAACTGTGGCAAGTTGATTGAAGCTCACAAGCAATGCATGCGTGATGCTGGCTTCGATATCTAATTAGCAGCTTCATTTGAAGTTTAGGAAGTTTCATTAGCGTTTTGTGCTTTAAGTACATCCCAGTCATTCATAGAGCATTAATAGTTGTTATCCTTTGTTGTTTTCGTCTTGTTTTTAATAAATCGTTTCAATCGCTTCTGCATACAAAGCTTCACCTGGTTGATATCCAAGTCGTTCCTATCTGTTGTCTGTGCTGCTATTGTTGAACCCAATGGTTTTGAGTGGCAAATGAGCAAAAAAGGAAATGACGAAAACTCATTGGAAGTAATTGTGCTGAATCGAGACATCGTCCGGCTAGATTCAGAATTGAAAAAGAGGATTTTGTGTTTGAGGTTCGGCAAGCTATTGTTGATTTTTCATGTTGCCTGCTTTGTAGCAACTTCAAAGATGACAAATCCCTGTTCGAAGAAAACAAACAGTTGAAGGAGGTTATCAACCAACTTCGTAGGAAGCTTGACAACTTACAAATTGTAGTTAACAGAGTAAACTTTTAAAAGAAAAAGTAATTTTCCATGTTCTCCTTTCAAGGTTCCAGCACAACATGAACAGTTGGAAATGCAAACGCAACTGGAGAAGCACAAGAAAGAGCTTGGTGAGAATACGGCAGCTCTCACTAACGCCCTAGTTCATGTTAAAAAGGAGATAGGTTTTAGTCTCTCATACATTCATCCATAAAATCTTTCATTCAGCTGAAAGAACTCGCAGAATGCTCATGACTGGTGGTACTCAAAGTGTGGAAGTGCGTAAACGTCTTGTCGACCAACAGACTTTGAAACAAGATGCAGCAAAGGTAATTCCAAATGAAGGTTTCATCATGATAATCATCGATGTACGATTTTCAGACAACAGACAAACTAACAGAATTAGTTTCTAAAATGAATGAAAGAGTTTCTCATAGTGAACAGACTATGGACAGTTTAGTTCATTCGAGTGCTGTTCTCGCTGAAACTCAAAGTGAATTCGAAAGTCAGACAACTCATATACAAGTAGGACAGAAGCTATTAGAGCTTATTACGTTATTCATTACAGACGTCCAACAAACTTCTATCCAAATATGAAAGAAGAGAACTAACAGACAAAATCCTTGTTACTATAGCCCTCATATTCTATGCATTGGTTGTTTATTATATTCTTCAGAAGCGGGTCTTTTCGAAGTTTTCCCTTTTTTAAAGGAAAGTGTGGATATTTATTTTTGCTGTGATAACATAAAGATTCTTATGAAATCGTTCCTGGAATTTGAGTTTAGTTGTGATTACATCTTACTTTCAATGTCATCATTCTTCGTTGCCTTATACTCTTCTTAGAACAATGACGGATGCTAAAGAAGAGAAGCAGCCCAAAATGATCGACCATGTTCGAAATCTCTCGGATCTACTTCGAGAGAGGAAAGAAGATGTTTGTGAAAGTGAGAAGCTAGGGGGAAAGGATCATATTTTAGGAGGCTAAGCGATTGTTGCAACGAGTACCCGATCTCCTTACTAGTCGTGATGACACAGGGAGAAGCACAGTTCATTTCGCTGCTGTTGGAGGGTGTTTGAGCATTCTTAAATATTGTGTGAACTCTGATGAGGATGCTGTTAACTTGAAAGATGACGTTTGTTTTTGTCCTCACTAATGAAGCAATGAGAGTTATTAGTACGGATGGAATCCATTGATGATCGCTACTTCAGCTGGACGAAGGGAACTTGTGCAATATCTGCTAAGCTTGCCAGAAGTACGAGAACAGTTATATCAATCAGCTTCTAACTATGTTGTAGATTGATGTGAATCAGAAGAATGTGAACGGACAAGCTTGTCTTCATTACGCATGCAGTAAAAATTTCAAAGAAGTTTGCTAGAAAAATTTGAACGGAATGATCTTTTGTTATGATTCAAGATAGCAGCATCACTTCTGGAGTCAGGTGCTTATGTGAATGCGGCTGATAAGTATGGAGATACGCCTTTACACAGGGCTGCAAGTCAAGGACATGATCAGGCTCGTAAATCTTATCGTTTTTTAATAACTATCTCTTTTAAGATTGTCCACTTGCTAATTTCTCAGAAAAATATAAACATTGATGTTCAAAATGGGGAAGGGAACACTCCCTTGTAATCTTTTGTAAAAGTTTTTATAGTTATTTCCCATTTAAGGTTCATGGCTTGTGAGGAAGAGAGAGAGGATACTGCCTTGGCTTTAGCTTTTAAAGGAGCAAACATCGAAGCTCAGAATAAGGTCATACTGTCAATCTAATGTACAATTTTCTTTTCGTGTTTTAGAACGAGAAGACTCCTCTGGATGTGGTGAAGACGTCATCTTTCAGAACCAAGCTGAAGAACGCCGCTGAGAAAGCTGCTGCTATGGAACACTAACTAACGCCTTTAATCTTATTTTATTTTTATTTAACTATGTGTATGTCAATAAAGCAATTTTACTTTTGAACTACCGGGCTCCAATGAAACCGATCAAGCATGTCTCCGGTTATCTCTTCCGCTCCATTAGGTTTTACTGAAATCTCGCGCCGTGGCAACGTTTATCCCATTGTGCAATTGCTCCTTGTTTGAAATAATGACTTTTGATGTTGAACAGGTTAAACCGTCACCGTTTTTGAAACCAAAGTACTTCCGTTGTAAGTCCATCTTTCGTCTTCTGCTCAAAGCCTGAAGCTTGCAGTTGAACGGAATCCACGAATTTTCGCGTGCCACCCTCTGCCTCAGCAGGACATAGAAACTGTTATCAATGAATGGAAAAGACAAGATGAAGAAAAGAAAAAGAAAAGGATTCCAGTGTATAGGTAAACCATGAAGAGAGAACGGGGAGAACTGATCACACTAGGTATGCATTCATTCTGTACCACAAGCATTTCTTGGAGCATCAACGACTCTTCCAAAGTCTCAGAGACAGTCGATGTGTTGATATAGGAGAAGCTGTAAGTCTCTATAGAGTTAATGAGTGTATCTCTCATTACAGAGACAATGGCTGATTGTTATCGAGACGTTCCCTTTGGATTTCAGCCGAGCAAAAGCTAAGATGAAACAGCTTCAGTGAGTTCAAATCCAGCTCTGTAATACACTGGTGTCAGACTATCTATTATTAATCAACAACTCACAATCGAAATACTGGAATGGATGCAGTGCGCTGAACGGCAAGGGTACATCCTTCACATGAATGACTGTTACAAGGAGAACGAACACACGAGATATTGTAAAATGAGTGGTGATTCGGAACCTCGAAATCATAGAATCAATCCAGTTTTCTAGAATTGGTTTCTGTCAAAAAAAGGAGAGTGAATGTCGATCTGTTGGCAGCTCGAATGGCCAAGAGTAACAGCTTCAAGTGTTCACAGCTGCGGCTCTTCTTTGACCAGAGGTTATACTGACTTGCAATCTTCAACTTTCTTCATTAGAGTGACAATTCTGTTTGATCCCAAGGATATAATGAACTTGAAAGAACGATCGGCAAGAGAAATACCCCAAATCTTCAAGAACCGAATAGAAAACTTTGTCGCTGAGTTGACAAAAAGGTACGAACAGGCTAATCAGTTCTAATTCCTTTTTAGATTCTTGCAGGATCTTCCCAAGAAGGAAACGAGGAGAAAAATGTTTGAAATAACATTGATTCAGGAATCAACCAAGTTAGCATTTCATGCCATCAGGAACTACATTGGTTTTCTACAGAGAGAGGTGTGGTTTTATTTTCTTGCTAACTCAGTTACATCTTACAGAACGACATCATCAACATTGATAGCAACCTGGTTGGAAAGCGTATATTCTTCCCATTAGAGCAATTGAAAGAATACTTCAAAGTAATCTGAGAGAGAAAGAGAGAGAGACCTACAAACTGTTTCTGATTCAGGAGCCGATCCTACATCTGGCAAACATCGAATGGGTTCGATTCTCCTCTACTGATGTTGACCATTGGACAGACTTGTTAGTATTAAACCGCAACATACATAATGAACTTATTCATAGAATTGGTCAGATTATTATGGACCAACTCGATCAAGAAAAAATTACGAATTCCCCCATATTGAAACAGTTCCTCTTCTTCATACAGGATGAGAAGGTATAACGATGGTTCAAGGCAGTTTTCAGAATATCAGTTAAGATATCTGAAGCAGCATCGATTGTAGAGCTCATTGCCCATGTGCAGAATCTGAATACTCTTAAACTGCGACTTGAAAAGGCTCCTGAAGTTTGTTATATGAACTACAACTTCATTTATTCTCTCTTCAGAAGTTACAGCATCTTCTTTTCACTATAAGGCTCAAGAAAGTGTGGCAAGCTATCCAGCTGAGGTTGCAGACTGTCTATAAGCGTCTGATCCAACGATTAACTTCTGATATAGCACAGTAGGTTCTATTTTTACCATCGCTGATCAGTACTCTATTATCCATACTATTCGACTCAACCGTTCCCTGAAATGGATGAGTGTGAAATAATTAATCGATTGACTTTATGCTAATTTCTGCGTCACACGCTTAGTCACGTTTCCATACTTTCAGACAAATAGAAGAGCTCCAATGCTTCTTCAGGAAGGATGTTCGCATATTGTCTTTCCGATCAATCAATCCTGCTCAAATGTTGTCCAATAAGGTAAACATTGGATACAACAACTGATCCACTCAGAATCTCAGGCTACTGTTGATGACATGCTGGATAATGATATTCCTAATCATGGAAAGCTATTAGCTTCTATCTATGATCAGATTCTTATCCTGACTCAGGTTAGTCGTTAGTTAAGTTGATGACTAACATGCAAGTTTCAGCATATTCTATTAGATTCGAACCAGGATGAAGCTCTCATCAAATTGTCCACTACCTGCAGATCCTTACCAAAACTTATCGAACATCACCACCAATTCTTTATAAGGAGACTTGGTACATTCCAGTTGTTCGTGAACGTGAGTTGTTTATCCTACTTAATCACTCAGTGCTTCTGTGCTAATACAGAAGAGGCAAAAATGTGTTCAAAGCACATCCCAAAAGCTGAGCGAGAAGCTGAGGATCCTGCAAACCATGGCGATCCCTCAAGATTCAGAAACATATTTGACGGAAATCTCCAATTTAAAGCCAACTATACAGGAGCTGCTCAATGATTTATTAGAGCTGAATCGCTTCGAAAAGGTATTTGACTCTTATCATCAAATCCTGGCATGATACCATCTCTCCAGGTCATAGGAACTGGAGTGACAGAGCTGCCTCGACACAAACAAGCTGCTGAACATATGAATGTGATGGAACAGTTATTCTCGTGTACAGTCAAGTACTTTCAAGTTGTCAAGTATGCCTTATATTACAATGAGCTGCTCAATTTTCGTTTTCAGTGATTTCTTTGAAAGTCATCGAACATCTGTAAATATTCATTCCTTGTCAATTTTCATTTCTGATCTGCTGAAGCAGTTATCGGAGTTCGAAAGATGTTTAGTCGGTCAGCGCGCTTCTCGTCTTTTCATAGGTCAAGTGAGTTTGTCATGAAGTTCGTATATCAGGATAAAAAGGTTTTGTAGTTACGTAACGATGTGGACGCGTTTAAGAAGAACTTTGCCGTAATGGAAATCATGTCCTGCCCGAGGTTATTAGATAACCACTGGAGTAAGATGTCTGAAATTATGTGTATGTGTGCTTACCAGCTTCTACCTATTAATTGAAGTCTTCAGCTTTCGACATGTCTGCGTACGCAAACTCTTCTGTCTCAGTACTTTGTGAACTGGGGTTGGAAAAGCATTTGAGTCAACTGAAGCCAATAGTGTTCGCTGCTGAAAGAGAAGCTCATGTGATTGACCACTTAGATGACGTAATCGCCTATTGGACAACAGTGAGTTCATTCAGAGGAAATGAATAAGTTTTTGCTTTTCAGGCTTTGTTCGACATCGAAGAAATTAAGTATTGGCACTTGAAACGACCAACGAATTTGAAGAATCTTCTGAATGATGCTAAGAAAGATGTTGAAATCCTTCATGATATTCGTGATACAGATGCTTCACCACCCCATATTAGCGATAACTTAAAGTAATACTCAGACAGTTGTGTAAGAAACTTATCTAAGCTTTAAGCAAATGGACCAGTACGGTGGAAAAACTCAAAGAAATTTTAGAGAACTGGTACGTTACGTGGGAAGATTGGCATAAAGTTGCTCGATTATTCGAACGGTCTCGGTTCGAACTTAATGTTAGTTGAACACTTATGACCAAGCTCTCAGCAGATTTTTATAGGAACAGTTCAAACTGTTTCGAGAATGTGCTAAGTATTGGAAGAAACTAGTTGAGAACCTAATAGGAGACAGTAGTGTACTAAGGATTCTAGAGCTCAAACATGTCCAGTGTTGGCTGAAATCTATATCAGGAATGATGTTGTCGATTACACAAGTATTTAAGAAGTTTCAACTCTTCTCAAAAATGTTTCAGAACCTTGGACATCTGATGGAACGAATTCGATCAAACTTCACTCGTTTAACAATAGTTTCTGATTACCATCTTCTTATTCTCTTGTCAGCTGAAGATTCGGTTGAAGCGTTCGTATCTTCTTCCAATCTCGAACTCATTTAACACTCTTTCTAGACTTTCGCAATTTGTTCAACTGGTGTTCCCGCATTTAAGGAATATTCAGTTTACTTCTGACGGATTTATGGAGTTACATGATCACTCCGGTGACCGCATGATTCTGGAAGAGCTCACCTACGATTCATGTAAAAGGATGTCTTGTTGTGACCTAATAGAGAAGATCGAAGAGACAACTTTCAGAAGGATAGTCGAAGTATGAATATATCAAGTAGAAGGCCAATAGATGTTTTATAATGTTTGAGGTGTTGTCTGATGAACAGCACATGGAGTATGGAAAACATTCAAACAAAATGCTCAAACATCTTTCGAATGAACTTTTCTCCCATAAGAAGATCCCAGATGAATTATGTGTTTCGTTTGTTGTCAGTGAACCAACTGGTACAAATAGCTTTTAAGTTCATTTCAGGATGAGAAGTTTGTTCTTGAGACATCATCACACGTTCAGCAATCTAATTTGATATTGGAGTTTGTTCATTTGAACTGTAAACAAATATCTTTACCGTAAGGTGTTCATCGAAAGCCAAATTCAACCTCATTCTTCTTAACAGGCGAAATCTCTGCCAGTTTTGGGCTGATGGCAACATCATTCTATTGATAGGATCTCTGAGTTTAACGAGAAATGTATTGAGTAACATCATATCAAAGCTCTATGTTTCTTATCATTTTGTGAATTGCCATGAGGATTTGGATGTTGCCGTGATACAACGAGTTGTTGAGGTACGATCTCATTCTGAGTAATCCTCAAAATTGAAAAATTTCTAGGCATCAGCAAAAGAATCTGTTCTTATAATAATGGAGAACTTGAACCTT